CTGCACATGGTCCACTTCCTTCAGGTGCCTCCAGGTTTGTTTCTCCTAAAGCCAAAGGTGTGATTCAGGGTCTGTTAGTGAGGGCACACGGGCAAGGTCTGTGCTAGCTGAGAGGAAGGAAGTGGGAAGTGAACTCCTGCTGTGGTGCTGCTGCTGCCTGTAAAGGAGTCTGTGCATCCGACACCAGGGGTAGATGCAGTCCTGTTCCCACTGGTGTGTCTGTCTGTGCACTCCCTGGTGCTTTCCTCAAGTTCATATCATGGGTTTGTTAGGCAGGGCCTTGCTGCTTCTCTGTACATTGAGCAGAGGAGTGCACTTGTCCAAACTTTTTCTGTAGCATGTGAAGAGAGAACAAACTCCATGGGGGAAATGTGTGAAAGAAACCTGCTGCTCTTTGGAGAAGTGGGCTCTCAGAATCCTCTTTCCCTGGCTTCATCCCAGCTGCTTCTCCTTGCTCCCTGTTGTGCTGCTTGGTGACTTGTGCTCTGCAGAGGCAGGGCAGCCTGGCTTCCTCCCTGTCCTGCTGGCTGCTTCAGCGGGAGGGGAGAGAGGGGGCAGGAGGCACCAGGATTACTGTGGGAGGTGCAGTCCTTTCTGCTTTGGTTGCCTGCTGAAAAAGCTGTGTGCAGGTGGCAGGGAGCCCTCTGCTCCTGGGCAGTGCTGCTTTGCTCCTGCCCCCAGGACCCGCCTCCTCCCTGGCTGCCAGGTGAACCAGCCTCTCCGAGTTGATTTGTTGTTTCTCTGCAGAGGAAGGAAAGGAAAAGTTTGGTTTGTAAGCTTAAAAGTAAAACATAACTCCTGGGTTTAAAGATGGTTTATTTCTACTTGGGAAGGGAGAGGAAGAGCAGAGGAGGAGCCATAACACTCAGCAGCAGATGATGTCCCCATGGCACGACAGCTCCATGAGCAGCTGTGAAAAAGCCCCACATGTGGCTCCCTTCTGCTTCTGTGTGCAGGAAACCTTACACAGAAGGGCTGGTATGCCCCTCTGGGGGGACCTGGCTGTTCCCTTTGACAAGGTGCTTGGCATTGTGCTCCATAGGGAGGGACAAACTGTCCCAGTTGTAGAAGTTCAGGGAAATTGAAGCCAGAGGACAAGAAGTGGCTGCTGCTGTGCAGTTTTTTGGATGAGCCATCCCCCTGGTCTGTGAAAGGTCTTCCCACCACAAGACACCAGGTCCTACTGGGCTGGACTGGCTGGTGCTGGCTCCCTGTCAGTGTGGTGTGGAAGTGCTGCTGCTGCTGGAGCATATGCCCCAGCTGGGAGTTGGTTTGTCTGACTCACAGCAGGGCAAAGTTATAGAACACCAGACCCAAATAGTTCTCCTGCACAGTCTGCCAGATAAATGGTCCTGGAAGAGATTAGTATTTTAAATGAAGTGTTTGGTCTTGCTGCTGGGGCTTCTTTAGAGCCAGACTGTCACCTGCAAAGCCGCAGGGCACATCCCCTTGCCTTTAACAGGAAAAGAATAACCCTATGTACTAAACCTGGCTGTTTGTGAAGTGCCAGCAGGTCAGCAGGAGAAGGTGACAAATGTTGACACCAGGGCAGGGCTTTGAGCAAAGTTCAGATGAGAGTCCGGGCCAGGAGTGTCCTTCTGGGCAGGCGTGGGGGGCAGTGGGAGGCACCCAGCGAGCTGGGGTGTGCTCAGCACCTCGCGCCGCAGGAGTGGTTTGGTGCTAATAACACCCGGCGTAGGGAGGGCCCTGAAACCAAACCCGTGTGTGTACCTGCATCTTGTTCCACCTCTGCTGCCTGCAAACTCTTCCAGAAGCTTTTTGCTGCGTGCGGGGTGCCTGGGCTGGCTGCAGGAGCTGGAGGAGGTGAGTCCAGGCTTCTGCCTTCCTTTCAGCCTGGCTGCTCCCAGAACTTCCTTCTCCATCCCTCTGCCCTGTCCTTACAGATCAACACTTCAGGTGGTTTTCCTTTTCTTTCCAGCCAAGCCCTGCATTCTGGGAACAAAATCAAAAAGTAGTTGATGGGTATAGGGACAAAATGCATTTTAAACAGGAAGGGTCCATGTTCTGTTGCAACTGTGTCTGCAGCTTGGTTGCTGTTGACAGCTTCTCATCGCTGGCTGCACATGATTATTGCCTATGTGTAATTTATTTTTTTGTTAAAGCCCTCTGAGGGTGTGGAGGGGGGAAGAGACAGGTCTTTTCTTACCTGCTGATAAGAAATTCAGCCTTTCTGCTTCAAAACTGAAATTCGCAGGCAGTTGAGGAAAGGGAGAGTTTCCTGCTTTCTCCCCAGTGCTAGAGATGTCACTGATAAAAGGGGAGAAAACCAGTTTTTTCTCTGTGCGTGAGTGTGTCAGACACATCTTTTACTTCATGTTTGGTGTTTACCCTGTGCACTTCTGTCAGCCCTCCAGACCATGGACTGCAGCAGACAGTTGACATTACATCTCCCTTCCAGCTCTAGCTTAGAGTGATGGTTGTTCAGTTCATTTTGCCTTCTGATTTTGCTTCCACTCGACCGAGGCTTGTGCTGCTGGAGCTGGGGGGCTGCAGCTTAAATCCCTGTCCCAGGGCTGTAGGCCAGCTGGGCACCCACCAGAAACGAACAAGGCTGTGACATCCTGTGTCTAGCCCACATCTGAGAAAGGTGGTTGCTGCCCCCAATCGCTTCCTTGCAGATAGAGTTTATCTGAAGTAGTGCTGAGCATGTCTGGGGCCTCCGAGGAGCCCTTTGAAGCCTTGTCTGGTGATTAAAGGAGAACTGTTGCTGTTCCCCTCTGCCGTTAGCTTGCTATTTGACCTTGGGCAAGTCAGCTAAATGTTCACAGTTGTTAAAAGGAGATATCTTTTGTGACAGTTGAGGTCTAAGTGAGTGTGGAGGGGGAAGGTGAGGGATGCTGGAAGGAAAATAATTAGTATTTATGGTGTGTAATTGGCAGCCTGTCAGCTCCCCAGCTCAGGAGTGGTGCCTGCCCTCTGCAGCAGTGAGAGGCAGAGAGCAATGCTGGCATCTGTGTAAGAACCTCACCACCACCCTCCAGCTTTACCCAGGCAGCAACCTGTGGCTTACCTGGCTGGTGGCAAGAGGGGAAGAAAGAGAAAAGGGACAATGCAGAAACTGTCCCAGCTGTACCTGTCTGCTGATACTTGATGGAGGTCAAATGCATGTGCTCTGTGGAGTTAGGGAGCAATGATTTGCACCATGTTTGGTGATAACCTGAAGTTCTACCAGTGTAGCTGCGGCAAGGCCACGGTTCAGTAGTTCCTCCTGGTCCACCCTTTGCCTCCTGCTTGGCCCTGGGTCCAGCAGCCCTTCCAGCTCTGCACGGACCCGTTCCCAAGCCTGGCCTCCAGCACTGGCTGCCCCAGGGTGCTGAGGAGGGAGACAAGGAGACATTCCCTCTAGCAGCATTTTCCTTTCCCCTGTAACCAAGGCGAAGAGCTCCGAGAGGCATTGGGCTGAAAAACTGGATTTTTACCTCATTTCCTCTGATAGATTCACTCTCTGCAGTAAGGGAGCTACCAGCTAGCTGCTCTGGCACAAAGGGGTGTGCAGGCAGGGACAGTCCCAGCTCCCCCACAGCCAGGGAGGGAGCAAGCGGAGATAAACTCCACCTGCCTGTCTCACCCTCCTCCACCTAAGGGACCCAGAGCAGCAGGGGCTGTGCTGTGGTGGGACAGGGAGCAGCAGCTTCTCTGCAAACTGGGAGCACAGTCCAGAAACGGGTCACCAGCTGAAGCACACTGAGGCCAGGGGGATGTGTTGTGCTGTGTCCCCACAGAGAAACTCCATGGTGGCTCATTTGGGGTGAGAAGCCAGGGCACATGAATCCTGAGAATTGGGCAGCAATTTATTTTATTCCTGAACCAATGCCTGTGGAGGAACTTTCTGCCTTTCCCAGAATAACTACAGACCTGAGATGCTTTTTTTTTTTTTACCAAAACAGCATTTTGGTGGACTAACCTAGATGACAGTAACCCTGCAGGTTTTCTTTCATTTGTAGACTGAGAGGGGCAGGCTCATAACAGGTTATTTAGAGGCATCTGCTTACTCTGCCTTAGCTGCTCAGCCCCTGTCCTGATCTGGTAGCCTCTCCCCTCTGAAGAAAGCTGGAGAGAGGGAGCGTGTTACAAGGCAAATAAATGACTCAGACTAATGAGTAAGGTAATTGCTGTTCACTGTTAGATGAGGCTAAAGTGGGTCAGGTTTGTTTGTGAAACTCCATGGAGGCACCATCTGTTCTCTGTGCCCTGTCTCAGGGGCTGGAGATGGGATTTGGGTGAAACTGCTTCCCTGGGAGCCCGTGGGGCAGCACGGAGGATGTCCTGGTCATTAGACAGTGACATGGGTCTCTAGAGATGACCCTGTGTGACTGCAGGCAGTGCTGGTCCTCGAAGTGGATTCTTAATTGATTTCAATGGGAGAGGGGACCCTAAATCCTTTGTCCCTCTGCTACAACTGTCCATTTGTAAGATGAGGCTGGACAGGACCCTGAGAGGTCATTAGACCTCCCTTAGCCCCAAGGCAGAATGGGATTTTACCAAACCATGTCTGACAGGTGCCTGTCTCACCAGTCACAAGCCCTTGGACAGAAACCTGGCACCAATGTAGTTTGTGTCTTTTAACCCTGCCACTCTCCCAGATGTCCCCTCTTCACCCTCACGTACCTGCAAGCCTGTTGGGACAGGGACTGTCTCTTTTCAGTGATGATGTGCCTCTGTGGTACCTGTTTTCAGCTCTTTCCCCTGCCCTGGACCCTGCTGTGTCTAACAAGCTCTCTCTTCTCCCACACCACAGCATGTGAGCAGAAGGAGAAGCCTGGAGTGGGATCCCTGCCTGCCCACCCCCGGACTCGACATTGCTGGGGCCACATCTTGCAATGAGAGGAAGAGGAAAAGATGGTTAATTCACCATTGCTAAAAATGGGAGGCAGCATCTGCCCAGCAGACCAGGAAGGGAAGCTCCAGACCTTGCTTGTGGGGCATCCATGGGAGTGCTGCAGCCAGAGTGACACAGCCCTGTGTCAGTGAGGGGCACCATGGCACAGAGGGCCTGGGCCACTATGCTCTTCCACAGCCACAGGACCCAGCTCCTGCTGGTCAACTCCCTGACGTTTGGCCTGGAGGTCTGCCTGGCTGCAGGGATCACCTACGTGCCTCCGCTGCTGCTGGAAGTGGGTGTGGAGGAGAAGTTCATGACCATGGTTTTGGGTAGGTGGTTTTTTTCTCTCTTTTTAGAGGTGCGTGTTTCCTCTTAGTGCCTGCAGGACGGGGTCAAGTAAGGACATGGAGGCTTGTCTCTGTGGGGTCTTTGCAGGGCTGCTGTTGTATCAAGGGCAGCTTTGTGTTTGGAGAAGGGGGTCTGTGACCCAGTGAAGCTTACTGAGCTCCTAAAACATCCCAAGCTTTTTTTACAGTGCACACAGACCAATGTCCTCCAGATCAGTCCCCCTAATGACACCTATTTGTCTTTTCCAGGGATAGGACCTGTCCTTGGCTTGGTTTTTGTCCCACTGATCGGATCTGCCAGTGACCACTGGCACAGCAGCTACGGCCGGAGAAGACCTTTCATCTGGATGCTGTGCCTGGGTGTCCTGCTGAGCCTGTTTGTGATCCCACACGCCAGCAGCCTGGCCAGCCTGTTTGCCCTCAACACCCGCCCGCTGGAGATCACCTTCCTCATCCTGGGCATCGGGTTGCTTGATTTCTGTGGCCAGGTCTGCTTCACTCCACTGGAGGCCCTGCTCTCAGACCTCTTCCAGGAGCCAGACAACTGCCGCCAGGCCTTCTCTGTGTATGCCTTCATGATCAGCTTGGGGGGCTGTATTGGATACCTCCTCCCAGCCATTGACTGGGGTGGCAGCTTCCTGGCCCCCTACCTGGGGGGGCAGGAGACCTGCCTCTTCAGCCTCCTCACCGTCATCTTCCTCGGCTGTGTGCTGGCCACGCTCTTTGTGACAGAGGAGGCAGCCACCCAGACAGATGTTCTGGATGGCCCAGTGCTGAAGGACACTCCCTTGAAGCCCTCACCTCCTGCCTGCTGCTTTTGCCAGCTTTCCAGGAGCTCGTGTCTCCTGCAGGCCAGGCACATGGTGCAGGCCCTGAGGAACCTGTGCGCGCTGGTGCCGCGGCTCCACAGCCTCTACTGCCGCATCCCCAAGGTCATCCGGCGCCTGTTCGTGGCCGAGCTCTGCAGCTGGATGGCACTCATGACTTTCATGCTGTTCTACACAGACTTTGTTGGGGAAGGGCTGTACCACGGTGTCCCCAGGGCCAAGCCAGGCACGGATGCCAGGCGTCACTACGATGAAGGTGAGAAGCGAACTGGCTGCCCTGAGGCTGCAGCACTTGTTCCCTAGGACAAGGGTGTTTTAGTGGGAGCTGGGGATGGGCTCAGCTCTGCTAGTAATGGCAGAGAAAAGGTTGCAGGAAACGAGACTTTCTGCAGATGGGTCAGGAAAAACGCATTCCCTGTGATCCCCAGAGCATTGCACAGTGGGCCTAATAGGGAAACGCCTCTTTCTCCTTCAAGCTACCAAGCACAGACCAAGACCTGGCAGGGCAGCCCTGGCCTGGGGCTGAATTGTTGAGTGGCAGAACAGTCTGGCAGGTTGCATGCTGAACAGGATGGATCCAGCTCTGTCTGCAAGCTGTGGCTGCCCCTGCCGGGTCCTTTTGCTGCTCTTCCCTCCTTTTTAAGTGAGGGGTGATGGTGCTCCCCGTCTCTTGGAGTGCATGGACTGGAAATCTGGGACATGCTCCATAGCATTGAGGTGGGCTTTGCTCCATCTCCCTGCCATGCAACTGGGAGAGTCCAACTCCTCCCTGTGGAGCCCCTGAGCAGCTTTTCCCAGCTCCCACCCCTCAGATCCTCCCTGGTGGTGCTCAGTGCTGCAGTCAGCAGCTGCCACGTCCACATCATGGGACACTGCTCACTGCAGCACATTACCTGTCCTGTTTTGCCTGCTGTGTTGTGCCAGAGCTTTGACTCGCTGCCCACCCTTTCTTTTCCAGTCCCTGATCTAAGTCTTTTATTCTTGGAGGCCCCTCCCTGCCTTTCTCTTCCAGCTGCATATCTTGCCCTCAGAGTTTTCCACTCACTGCCTCCCTGAGCTCTGCAGTACACTGCCTCTTTGTGCTGGGTGTCTGTTTAACTTAGAGGGAGCTTAATTATTATTTAACACTTGCACTGTATGGCTTCCAGCAGGCCAGGACTCCATTGTGCTACCTGTCATAGAAGCATGTGTTGAGTAATGATCCTTGCTCCAAAGAGTTAATGGTTTTAATTCCCTGAAATCTGATAGATCTTTGCAAAGGGTAAGGTCCGGAATGCTACCGGATACTGCAGTCATTTAGTGGATGTTTTGTACTTTACCTTGGCTTAAGCACAATTCCTTGTTCCTTTTGTTCAGTTGCTGGTTTTGGCACCAGATAATAACAGATCCTTGTTCACAAGCAGGTGGCAGATCCTGGGTCAAGAGTAGGAAGGTGCCCAGGAGCACATGTATTGCTACTGGTGGAGGGTGGGATGTATTGAGTGATGCTGCTCTGTGGCTGTCAGGACTGCCTGAGGCTGTGCCACACTCTGCATGGACCCTGTGGAGCTGGGCCCCAGAGGAGAGGGAAGGAGCCCCGAGGTGTCAGGACTGTGGGAGGCCTGGGTGCAGTCAGGACAGTGTCTGTCACCACCTCTGCCTCCCTGCAGGTGTCCGGATGGGCAGCTTGGGCCTCTTCCTGCAGTGTGTCACTTCCATCTTCTTCTCGACAATCATGGACCGGATGGTGAAGCAGTTTGGGACACGGGTGGTCTACCTGGCCAGCGTGGTGTTCTTCCCCATGGCTGCCTTTGTCATGTGCCTTTCCCACAGTGTCATCGTTGTCACCATCTCAGCTGCTCTGACTGGCTTCACCTTCTCTGCACTCCAGATCCTGCCCTACACGCTGGCATCTCTGTACCACCACGAAAAGCAGGTAGGGCTCTGCTGCAGAGAGCAGTTGCCAGACAGCTCTGGGAACAGCCTCTTCTGCCACTTGTAACTGGTACAATCAGTTCAACCCATGGAACAGGAACACATGCCTGTGTGCAAAGGTTTTCCTCATGTTATCTTTTGTCTCCAGGCTGGGTCTTCTCTGAAGGTTGCTCTGAAATGGAGGAAATAAGAAAGTTTAGCATCTCCTTCCTCAGGCATCCCCTGCTCACAACAAGCTTTATGCAATTTTTAAAAAGTGGTGAGTGGGTAAGGTGGGAGAAATCAGCTAGGGTTGGTGCATCAAAAGGGGTGTCTTCTGTTCCTGTGTGTTCTGCATATTTTTCTAGGGAAACTGGTGCAGGTTACACCTGTGTGCATTCTGCAACCAAGTCACATTTGCAGCACCGCCAATTTGAGGTGCTAAAAACCAAGAACTTTCAGCCCTTAGAGGTCCTCCTTTCCAATTTTTGTCCATAGTATGAAGATCAGTAAAATGAAAACTGAGGTTCTTCCTATTCCCCTCGCTCCGAGATAAATAAACGTTGTGAAACTTTTGACACCAACACAAAAAGCTAGTAATCCTGTGCCACAGATGTTATCCTTGTGGAGAAGTCCTAGGAGGTTCCTGAGTTGCACACTGGATTAATAAGAGTTTCTCTTGTGCTGCAAATGCAAAATTAATTTGTGGTTTGAGAGCAGCTCTTTCATCCCAATGGCAGGCGGTTCACTGCACAGTGAAATAAGTAGGAGTTTTTACCACAGGCATCCAGATGTTCACATTGAACAAATACTTCTGACCAACCCATCCCAATTTGCAGCAGGCACCCTGTCAGGGTAGGGGTAGGAGGGGGGGTTGTGCTTTGCAAGAACTTCAGCTTGGCTGGGCTCTCCCATGAACATATTATCAGCAGAATGAAAACCAAACTCCACAGGCTGGGAATAAGAAGGCCACATTCCCAACAGTTTGTCAAAGGCTTGATGGGGAAACACTCTTAGTACAATGAGGTGTGGTGTGTAGCTGGGTTTGGTCTCTGTTGCCCTGACTGGAAAGTTCCTCCTTCCTTTACCAACTCCTTTGCAGCAGGCTGCAGGGACCCCACAAGAAGCAGTCACTAAAATGCCTTTTGCAGAAAGTTTTCCATCTTCCCCATTTCTGTTCCCTTCTTCTTTCTGACTGTTGAAATCTGTCCCTGTTTCTGTTTGCCTTCCCTCGTTCCTGCTTCCTCTCCTCCCTCTCTTTATTTTTTTCCACTTTTTTTAACTTTAAACACAGCAGAAGGGGCATCCAAAGGGGCTGTTGCTTCCACCCTGGGCGGGATCGTTGGTGAAAACCTGCGAGGCCACCTCAGCTGGAGCTCCTTGCTTTGCCCAGGCTGTGTAAGTCTCTCCTTCCCCCTGCATGCCCTCTCATCTTCACATGGCCACTGAAAATTGTCTAGAACAAGAGGAAAAGATCTGCATGTTCTAACAGCTCTTGGTGGAGGTGAGGTGCATGTTGGGCATTCACACCTTGTGCAGATTAGGTTCCTCATGCCTACCACTCCCCATCAACTGTAGAGGAAGATAAAGCTGCTGCTTGAGGCACCAGTGGCTCCTGTGTTTGCATCCTGTGTGATTTTAAAGCATAGGTTCTCACTAAGCTCATTCCTCTAGATTTAAATTAATTCTCCACACTAGGTGTTCAAACACCCCTGCCAGAACTTGTATCTCTGAAGTCCAAGCCTGGATCAGTATAGAAACCAAGAAACGTGGCATGAACCCTCGGGGCAGCTGAACAGGCTTCTGGGCACGTCAGTGGCAAATAGGAAGGGCAGGAACTGTGGGGGACATGCTAGCTCAGCTCACACAATGCCCCTTCTGTGCTGGGCTGTGATTGCTTTGAAGTCTGATGGCAGTAGGAGGCACGTGGGAGGATTTTTAAGCTCCACATGAGATAAGTGAAGTCGTAGATTAATGCATTTAAGTGTAAATTCATAAGCCTGTGAAGAGTGAAGGAGTTGAAGGGTGCAGTGAGCAGAGCCCAGGTAAAGCTTTGGGAAGATGATTGCTATTTAGTGAAGTTCTCCTCTGATCTCTGTGATTGAATCTGAAACTGTTTGTGCTACTGATCTGCAGCCATGGCCTGGGGCAGCGTGAACAGAGACTGACTGCCTGGTGCTGACTTACACTGGGGCAGGGCTGGGTGTAGCTGGGTGGGTGCCAAGACTGCTGCAAGGCTTTGGGGTGGCCTGCAGCAGAGCTGGAGTGCCCACACTGCTGCCCCTGCGGTGCCCTCCTCTGGATGTGTCCTGTCCCTCCTGCAAAAGGAAGGATAGCTAAGGATAGCTCAGGCAAGCCCCTGGGTGGGCTGGTTCTCCAACAGGTGCTTTTTAAAAATTTTTTCCTTTTTATTTTCTTTGTTCAGCTTCACCATGCAGATAATGTCCTTATCTGCTCTGCCCTGTGCAGACCAGTGGCTGTTGCATAAATGGCAACCTGGTTCTCCAACAGGTGCTTTTTAAAATTTTTTTCCTTTTTATTTTCTTTGTTCAGTCTCACCATGCAGATAATGTTATCTGCTCTGCCCCGTGCAGACCAGTGGCTGTTGCATAAATGGCAAATGCCCTGGAGTTTTAAAGCTGGGGCTCTGCAGCAGTTTCACTGCCTGCACATGGCTGCCTGTTAATGGGGAATGAAGCACTGTGTGTGATGCTGCTGGGAAGAGCCATGGCCCAGAGATCTCAGCTTCAGCAGAGCAAGGCAAAAAAGGGTGAGAAGAAAAAGATTTTTCTTCCCCCCACCTTCCTTTTCTAGCCTGAGTGAGGAGGCTGAGGTCAGGCAGATGAAGCAACTCGGTTGAGGTCATGCATGTACAGTCCATTGCAGAGCTGAGAAAAGAGCTCCTTCCTGAGCTCCCAGCATTGTGCCATCTCAGCTGATGTCACTCTTAAGTACCTCAGAGATTCAGAAGAGGCCAAAGTGACCATGCATCCAGGGCTCTGAGCTGGTTGTCTGCCCTTTGGGCTCTTCAGAAGGAAGGTTTTGGGTTCCCAGCCTTTATAAATACTAGTGTTGGCACTGGAGTGGACTGTTGGGCTTTGTGATCTGTCCAAAGTGGGCTCTGCCCTTCACTTCTGTCCAGCAAGTGCACATCAGCTGATGTCAGATGGGGTGAACTGTAGTTGGTGCCCAGATTTCCCTGGCACCCAGTGAGGAGGTGACAGCGTGGGGCTCAGTGCAAAATGTCCCCAGGCTGAGCCTGGCCTAGCTTTGGGCTGCAGCAAGTGTGCTGAGCCCCAGAGCTTCCACACAACAAAGGCACCACTTGGCCAGGTTTCCCTGGTGAGTCAGGGTTGCTTTGAATCCTGTGCCAGTTGGGAGAAGCCAGGCTGGCCCCTGGAGGCCACGTCACATGGGCCAGGCTCACTGCAGGCACTCCCCACCTCCAACAGCCTGACCCCACACCTACCAAGCACAGAAGGGCTTTGCTGTCCTGCACAAAACATGGGCCCCCACCTGCCCCCCGCCAGCTCCCCCTGCCAGCTCACTCCTCACATGCCCTTCTTTCCCCCCCAGGTGTTTTTGCATAAATATAAGAGCAAAGAGGAGGAAGATGCGGCTCGATCGGACAAGAAATCAGCCTTCTCCAAAGGCCTCCTTTCCAGCCAGAAGCTGCCTTACCAGAATGGACATGCTGGGAGCCTCTTCTCTTCTTCCTCCTCTTCCTCCTCTCCTGCAGCTTCCAGCTCAGCTCTGTGTGTCAGCTCCTCCTGCGACGTCTCACTCATGATGATGGTGGGAGAACCGGACTCGGTGCCTCCCGGCCGAGGGATCTGCCTGGACCTGGCTATTTTGGACAGTGCTTTCCTCCTCTCTCAGGTTGTCCCCTCCCTCTTCATGGGGTCCATCGTCCAGTTTACGCAGTCGGTGACTGCCTACATGGTGTCAGCTGCTGGCTTTGGCCTGGTGGCCATTTACTTTGCAACCAAAGTTGTCTTTGATAAGAGTGACATGGCGAAGTATTCCGTGTGACGTGGGAGGCACGAGGGCAGCACACGGGTGCCTGCACGTGGTGAAATGAGACGTGTGTGTGTGTTCACACAGCCACTTGTGGGGAGCCTCGTGTGGCACCTGCTCTCCCCACACTGTTGCTGTAGCCCTGGGGGGTAGTTCTGGGGCTGGTGGCAGGAGAGGTGCAGCAGGGCTAATCTCAGGTGTAAATATGAGGCATCGGGCCATTGTGCTTCGGGCCATCAGTGCTTTCCAAAGCTGCCTTTGTCTAAAGAAAGCACTGCACAGCCAGCACCAAAGGGAGTTAGACAGGGCAGAGAAAGGACTTTTCCTTTAATAACGGGTCATGTTTCTGTGTAATTCTACCTAAACTGAGGAGAGGCAGTGGTTTGGGGAAGGGAGGAAGAAATAATATGCTCTCCTGTTCTCCAGTTGGAGTTTCATCTTCTTCCCCTGCTGCTTTTACTCAACTGCTAGAGCAATACTGCTGCAAATGGGACACTGGGAGATTCCCTTGGAAAAAAAAAGAGATGAGGAGCTAAGGTTTGGCCATGGGGCAAAAGGGGGTGCCTGTGTGTGCACACATTTCTGTTCTTCCCCACCTCTGTTCTCACCTGGAGAAACCACTTAGGAGAAAAGTTACAATGTCTTGTTTTGCAAAAACGAGTGATGTTTCGTTAGGACCAATTCCAAAAGGTGACTTACCTTTTACCTATGCACCAAGTTGCATCAGGTGGAAAGGACTTCTTAACTTTCTTTAATTTATTTAATGATTGTTTTTAGCTTTCTTCACACAGTTCTCAGTGAGTCTGACCTCTCAGCCCTCAGCTCTCTGAGCTGCTGCCTGTTCTCTCCCCTAACACATCTAGATATTTTGCCTTTTCCACAGCTGGCCCCTAAAAGGTGATGTACACCAAAGAGGAGTCAAGGTCCTGGCCCTCAGTCAGCACTCAGACTGTGGAATGACCCAAACTCTGCCTCTAAATTGAGGAGGAGGCATGAACTGGGTGCTGGGAGGCCAGGCTGGGAGTGTGCAGAAGAGGCTCACCAGTCCTTAGCTGGTCTAAACAAAGTGTTTGTGAGTAATTTTCTGTGGAGGTGTGTGGGCAGTGAGATGCACTGCTGAGGTTCTGCTGAAGGGCAGAATGTTGCTATTTTTGCAAGGTCTTGTCAGACTATTCCTTGGCATGGAAACAAGGTTACTCCCCTGCTGTCTGCAGACGGGTCCTGAGAGAATTTCTCCTAAGCTTTTTTAACATTTATTTCCCGTAAAGAGTGACTGTTGTTGTTTTATTTCTTCTCCAATTATATGCCTACCAGCCTCCCTTTCCCACAACAAGCTTTGTGTGCTGAAGTGCAGCTGTTTTGGGGATGGAGTTGGCAGCTGCTTAACCACCTCCATAAACAGCTTTTTGTCTGTACTTCCTACCCTGCTCTATGTCCACTTCAGGCTTCAGGAGGAAGTGTTTGAGGCAAAATGTTCTTGCCAAAGTTGGGGTGTTGGATAAACACTCCTAGTGATCAGTTATCTCTGACCTAAGATTTTTCAAGCACGTTCCTACTTGAGTGCTAAAGAATCCTTTATTTTTCCTAGTGTAAAATATGGGGAACCTTCACCCAGGGGGGATGCTATCATGCTAAGTGCTTTTGATAATTGAGCCATTTGTTTAAGTGCCTAGAGAGGGCATCCACACCAAACTTCAGGAGTATGGGTTGGATGAGAAAGTCCTGGAATGCCTCATTATAGACATCCTTGAGTGATGCTTGAGAAAGCAGTAAGCTTGAGGGGGAGGCAGCCTTGTTTTATAATGTCCTTTGGTTTGGAATGTGAAAGAAAAAGATGCTGCAGTTCTTGATTCATAACTTGTATGTGTCCCTCAAGAGGAAAAGGCTAAAGCCTGCCAGGCTCCCTGAGTGACCTGCTCTCCATCTGCTGTGGTGGCTTTGATGCAGAAGATCTACTTGATTATCCACCAAAAGACTCTGATTTCTCTCCTTCCTCTGCACCCTTCTTCCCATGTCTCCATCTGGAGTGAAAGCCAGTGAACTCAGGAATTGTTTCTTCTTACCCTCTTGTTCCACCAGGAGAAATGTGCTGGGCCATGTGCCAGCTCCCAGCAGAGTGGGCAGATGGGTACAGGAAGGAGAGTTTGCCAAGACCCAACTGTCTTCACTAACCCTGTCCCCGTGGGAGTTCAGCCCCAAACAGATGTGGGCTGATGGCCCTGAGAGTGGGGCTGTGCAGGAGAGGAGGGGTGCAGGAGTGCAGGGTGGTGGGCAGCTGGAGGACAGGGAGCAGCTTTCTGTGTGGAGGACAAAAAGGCAGCAGTTTTGGGGAGCAGGGAGAGGGAACAGGAGGGAGAGAGGGTTCAGGGTTTGCAGTGATGTGAGGGGCTGGAGCTGGGCTGGTGGGACTGTGCCCCTTGCTGTGGCCTTGCCCTGTCCATAGAGCACTTCAGGACCCTTCCTGCTCAGGTGCAGGTGGGCACACCCCTCCTACACTGCTGCAGACCCAACCTGTGTGGAATCTCCCCAGGACCTGATGGCTGCACCACGTGCAGATCTCGGTACCAGCTCTCCCCAGGGTGACTGTGAGCTTTCCTGTTCCAGGTGCCCTCCTGCTTTCTTCTCACGGGTGAATCACACCGTGCCTGTCCTTTCCTTTCGTGCGCGGGGGCTTTGGGGGCTGAGGGGGGAGAAGGTGGGTTTGACACCAGCCTGGTGTGACCCTCCAGGTTCAGGGAAGGATGTGTGGATGCTTGTGTTTCTTCGGAGACCGTGTGCTGTCTGCGAGATGTTCGTGGTTTATTTATTCGCTAGAGTAAATATTTTGTATACGATTTCAGAGGAAGGCTGTCCTAAATTTATATGGGCGAGGAGGAAATAAAAGGTGTTTGAGCGGGGCCCGCGCGGTGTGTGTGGCTGATCGGGCGGGGCCACCAGGGGGCGACAGCGCCAAGGGGGGGG